ACGACTCTCTTTCTTATGCGAGGTGATTGAAAGAATCTTTGGGGACGAAATGGGTCATTCTACGTGATATACCATCGTACACATTTTCCAAACCGATGCATATTGTGGTGGCCACTATGACACTCCACAACTTCAATAGACGACATCCCTCTTGGTCTGATATGGACTTCAATATGACTGACGATAAACAGATGCATGACTCCAAAATCTTCAGAATTCCAGGTTGGGCATTTTATACCTGCGGCTGAGATGGAATTAACTAAATTTGACTCACAAGATGACGAAGGTGTAGACTAAATGACTGCTTTGAGGGAGTCTATCATAGATGTTATCTGTGACTGCTGATTGACCGAATCTTTTTTATTTATCAGACTATATGTTTTTTTTCGTATGTAACTGCTGATTGATCGAATCTTTTTTATTTATCAGACTATATGTTTTTTTTGTATGTATTTTATTGTATTATAAATTTATAATTTATAGTTTTATCATGTATTTTTCTTGTTTTATTGATACTTTTGAATTTATAATACTCACATATTTGAGATTGTATTTCTTTGTTTTTTTTGTGGGTTTGTGAAGTCAATGATGAAAAATATGACCTTATGAATTTTTTTGGATGTCCGGTTCATTGTTGTTTTTAGTGCTGCATGTGAAATCCTAATAAAGACAACCGATATCCTCTCTTTGTTTGGTGCATCGGTTTATGCGGGTTTTCATGGATGACCTTTTTTGGTGATATGCACATCTGACACAGGTCGTTTGTATCCCGTTGGTATTGTGTGTGGAATCCCGAAGAAGACTACCTGGGTCTTCTCTTCTTATCAGTGTATCGGTATATGAGTATCTACTAGTGGATTTTTTTGGTGATAGACACATGTATCCCAGGACGTTCGTCCCCCGTGAGTTAAAAACGACTAAGAACTCATTTTTTTTCAAGGTGCCCTCTCTCATTATAGTGAAAGACTCGTGGGTTCGTGTAGTTAGTTGTCTGAGGCCTCACACTCACTTTTTTTATTTATACTTGCTTGTTCGATACGGTTTTAGTTTAATTCAATGCTTTTGTAGACATCCAAGCCATAATTTAATTTTCTGATTGGACAACTGATTTTTTTGTTTTTATCTCTGTAGAAACACGAACTCCGGGATTTCAAGGACCTTCCGAGTTGTGTTGTGTTACTGCAGACTACAGACTCCCTTACTCACGTCACGTTAGACTCACAACTACGGGAGACAGTTCTACAGTTGTCGCAGAGACGTTTTGTGAGGTGCGGTTTCTTCCGTTGGGCCAACATTCCGACATATTTCACTGCCGACAGTGCTCGAGATATGATGACTTTCCAAGAGGACTGTGCAGCTGATGACATATGTTGTCAGAGTTTGAAAATAAACATTTTAATAATTTTAATTGTATTTATAATTATTTTCATCTTTATTTTATCAATTTTGATACTCACGCGTAAGTGAGAACAATATCTTATTTTTTTAAAATGTTATGTTTTGATTTTCTGTTTCTGTTGTATCAATTATTTTACCTAGACAGTTCTGTTGCAAACAACATTACTTAACAGGGGCAAAATGATCATCTATATAGAAACAATTGCAATAAATTGATCTGAACAAACTCATCCGAACAATATCTGATTGTCAGTAGAATCTGCTTATAAGCACATTATAAATAATCTGCAGTTGCCCCAAATGGACCCTAAATAATATGACTTATCTTTGATATCTCGTAAATTGCTGCAAAACAACTTAAATTTCAAACAACTTATAGCCACTAAATTAAAATTAAGCATTATATGAAACTTTCAAGAAAGATTTGACAAAGCATTAGCAAGTGTAAATTTATTCAATGAAAATAGTCAAGCATGCCCCTAGCCCCTGTGGATTGTTGCAATAAGCTTTAAGAACCGATTGAATAATCAATTTAATTAGACGGTTCAAGAGTTGTCATATTTCTCATACAAAGGAAACTAGTTAAATTAGAAATAAAACCTAAAAACATATCTAGTGGTCTTACTAGATGGAATCATAGAAATTTAACTCTGTTGACATAAATTCCAAATCCAATATGTTAAATGGAGTAGTGCTTAGGCACAGGCAATGTTTACATTTGAATGGCTTGTCCCAAATATCCCAAAAAGGTGAGTTCGTTTTCATACAGAAATCAATAGTCACTCACTTAAGAGGCAATACTAAAGTCAAACTAAATTGAGAATGCCACATGATCATCAAAAATGTATACGAAGGTGAAGGCCATCAACCCATCAACTCAAAAGTCCAATGACCCATGCACCTAATCAACAATTGTTTTCCTTGAGAAATATTATGAGTTACGTCATGCCGCAAAGTCATAGAAGTGAGACTCATCTCTCTCTAAAAACTGTAAGCAACAAAATATCCGATAGACATTTTATATATAAGATCCAACTGAAGGAAAAAAAAGATTGGTGCGTATAGCCGAATAAGCATTCTTGGATTTGTACATTTGTCACGATTTTAAACAAATTTAAAAATTATTGCCAAACAATAGACTTTCCACACAATCTTGGCTAACATAATTGTAGGATGAGAAAATAAAAGTTATAGTATCTCAATTACGTAAAGAACAATACAAAATTAATTATTAAAATATAGCAAATCCACAACAATAAGGATAATCACGATGGCAGTTATCAATAAAACTGAATAGTAGACTACTATGACTCCATACGACAAAGGATATGATCATCCTTATGGAGCAGATGGACTTCTTCGTCCCATTACTTGTGAAAAATAAAAATTGAAATTAAGCATGTGTAAATATTTTACTTTTAGGAGAAAGTCGAAAACAAGTATAAGATAATACAGGATGTCTCACGAGAACATCTGCAACATATTGATGACCTGTATATGATCTGTCAAAAATTGGACGAAGAACGTATTTTTTCTCATCTGATGAGTCACCTCCTCCCATATATGATGGTATCAACTCATTTATCGCAGTATCAATTTCCAAGTGCTCCTCAACTATCTTCTGTATTGCATCATAAATTATTCCTCTCAATTGATTAGCCATTGCTATTTTTTAAAAATAAAGTGTAACATAAAACAAGTTAGAAAAATGCAAGACAATTATAAATAATGAATTGAGAAATGCAGTATTGCGTCTTTGTAACATAGTTTATTCAACTATTAATGAAAGTTTATTAGAGAAAGTAAAATGCATGAAGAATACATGGTAAATTTTGAACATAAAAGAACTTTATGTAGCAGGAAAAATAACTGTAACATAAGTCCAAACTAAATAAATAACATAAGAAATACAAGATAATAATTCAAATGACATTGTAAAGAATTAATTTAATCTTACTATAACCAGGATGAACATGCGTAGAAAAGTTGGTGACAACTGAGTACATACTCGATCCACGAACGTAAAAATATTCTATCCTAAGTCATTAATATTACTTTATTTTACAGTTTTAGCAATAGTAGCTTTTCTTGATATATTCTCAGAACTTATTAGCTTGGCTAAGCATTCCATCAGTGCCTTTTGCACAGCAATAGTAGCTTTTCTCGATATATTCTCAGAACTTATTAGCTTGGCTAAGCATTTAGACATCGTGTACTGGTAATGACGATCTAATGCTGCCTTCCTTTTTGCAGCATTTGCACCTTGCTTCTCTAGTAAACTTTTCATCGTGGACTTGTCAGGTTGTTTTTTAATTTTTAGTGACACCATATTCTCCCAAAAATGCTTATCTACGCTCTTATGTGGTAATGTTTGTTCCATTTCTGATTCAGCACTGATCTCCATACTTGGAAATGTCTCATTTGCTCCTACATCGGTTGTAAAGGTTGACCGTGCGCAGATAGTAATTTATCAACAACTTCCTCCACAAAATATTTAGCAGTGGGCTTACGCGGACCTCAAACACCACTATCAACTGCATGTATTCTGCACAGATTTTCCCAAATATGTCATACTGGGGAAAGGGTGGTGATGAAATTTTGCCAATTTGGAATTTTCCTGCAATAAAAGATGTAATTAATTTTATTAAACCTTTAATACTTATTTTTGGATATTATTTGACGCACAAATGTGCATTTTAATAATCTCATCCCATATTTCATCAGTCGTGATTGGGACATGCAAGTCAGGATCCCAACCCTAACCGCTACTATTAGATAGTTGATAATACACCCGGAATTCGGCCTTCATGTTCTTAAAACGTGTCATCACTTTTGCTTTTGTATAATTTGTACCAAGATGTCGGTTCATTGCATAAGCTATAGCATTTCAATGTTCTTTCTTCAATACCGCAGCTATCATATTTCCAGAAATATATTGTTCAAGCAATAACCCAACAAGGACGGAGTTGTGTTCCTCAGACCATTTCAGAACTCTGGTCCAAGCCTTTGGTAATCCCGTTTGAATTGAAATATCTTCATCGGGAGATGGTTGTTTGCTAGAACTACCTTGTTAAATTGATTTTCTTTTAAAAAATTCTTTCATGGTCACTGTGTACCTATCATATTTATTTAGTTGGTTTTAATAAGAAAGCATGGATTTCGGCAAGGAAAGAATACCATTTTTTTTTTCAATTTTTTCTAATTCATCTGCAGTCATCTCACATGTTAAGTAGCACACATTTGATGACTCTTGATTACTTAAAAGTTCTAGTCCATCTGGAGAATAATTTAAATTGATATTTTTCAAGTATAGTGCCAATTTCAGTGCTAACAACGCCTTTAGATATGGTCATGCTTGGTGATCCCCTGTTTTTTTGACAGCTAATTTATTGCACCGTGTTTTATAATAAAGATAAATTAATTAAGCTAAACACAACTAATCTCAAGAGGGGGGAAAATTTTACTGCATTCCACATCATTTTGTATTGAAGTATTCATGAAAATATTAAAGCCTGAAAAGTATTTGGTATTGTTAATTCTCATTCATGTTCTGTGGAGTTCTGCCCTTCACACCTTTTGGAGTTTGGAATTCTCTGTAGGGTGCTGCATAAAGATAATTTATTTTTATCGATCCATCAAGAAATTGACTTTGACTATGATGAGAAGGTAAGATGATCACGGTAGTCTTAGAATTGTCATTACATATATGTTGTTCATAATTAACCTAATGAAAATATAAATTTTTTAGTGGGGATACTGGGAGAAACAACCTTTCTTTTTCCATATTGCTTACTTCTACTTATTCCCCAAGCAGTTATGGTTGCTGCATAGGAGCTGTGATAATTATGTAGGGCGTATGCCACGAGCTTAGTGGTGGAAGATGAAAGTAGGCAATTTTATTTGGTGTGCAGGATGTAGGAGGTTTAGTGGAAATGTTTTGAGGGTTTGAGGACTTTGGAATTTTCTCTTAACAAGAGTCAACAAAAGGTGTGGAATTGGGGTTGTTGAATTTGATTATTTTGAGTAGCTGACTTTTTATAATGTTTAAACTGACGTTAAGTTGTGAGATATGATAAATGTTAGTACTATTTAAGAGCTTCAGATGTTAAGCAGAGGGTTATGAGTTGTTTGAGGCGGTTTTGTGGAAGTTTTGGTTTGTAGAGTTGAGGTAGAATGAGGGCCTGAGTTTTAACAGATATTGTGAACGTTAGATACTTGGTGAATAACTTATAGGAGTGTCAGTACTAAGAGAACAACTCAATCAATAGAGGGGGATGTAGAAGAGAGGTTAACAATAATAAACTAAATTAAAATGCTAAATAAAAAAGATAGATTGCTTTCACTAAAGAGGGCGTTTCAAGCCTCCAAACCCCCAAGCTTGGAAACAAGAAGTTGTCACCATACACACTACCAAAGATGAAAAGATTTCAACCTGTTTTCAATTCTTCAAAAGTATGCTTTCTTTACAACATTATTGATAGATATATACGTTATGAGCATTGAAAAATGCAAAACATCACAACAAAAAGAGAAATGTGACCGATGTCCTTAGTTATCATGCGTGCACTAGCTCCAATTTTCGTAAGTCCTTGAAAACAATAAATGCTGTTGATCTAATGAATAAAAGCTCCATCGGAAGAAGAAACACAATTTTACACTCCATGAAGCTCTTGAATGGCTAGCTAAGTAAGAAATTGACTTTGACTATGATGAAATAACAAAATGAGGTGGGATTGGGATGTGGCCACATAACTTGGACTAAAGTTCAACTTTCTTGATACTCAACTTTTTTTTGACATCCTTACAACACAAATAACATTCGTTCATTAGAAATGAAAATTCAAAATAATAATAAAAAAATTACATTGATAATCGAAGAAAGCTGAATGCCATTTATCCTTGATGTGGATTTTTAGTTTGTCGCTATTGAACATATCAAGCATCAAACAATGTGCACAAGAATGAGGACATTAGCTTTGGATACAGGGGTTCTATACATATATAACCTTATAAGATTAGGCTTAATGTGTTTGGAAACTGTTATTGTTGTTGAAATTGAAAATAATATGTTCGTTTGGCACATCCTTAGTAGCTGTAAAGATTTTATGTTATATGGAGCAAAGCTACTAGTTTAAGCCATCTTGAATTCCACTATCCAGAATGACAAAAACATAATGCTGCATGATTCTTCTTGTAGGAATGCTAAATTGGGTTGCAAATCATGTACAAAACAGACTCAAATCATCGAATGAACATGGTGTAAATGGTGGTGACAATCCCACAATCATTTATCAACTATTTTGGATGAATTTCCTCACAGTGCTGGATATCTGCATTTGTCCCAGAAGTGCCTGAATTAGACTCTTTTTCTCCTTTGTTTTATTTTTAATGAAATTTTTAAAGATGAATACTCCTTTGCGACAAACGATTTTTTCCCCCATTGAAATCAAATTTTCTCCTTTCTGATCCCACTTAGTTGGATTAAAGCTTGTTGTTGTTGTTATTATTATTGTTGTTGTTGTTGTTGTTGTTGTTGTTGTTGTTGTTTTTGTTGTTTTTGTTTTTGAAATCAATTTTCCCCTTTTTTGAGCCACTAGTTGTGATGCTGCATGGTCAAACAAGCCGAGCAATTATCAGCGCTCCAACAAAATCCGCAGTTCGACATTTCCCTACATTCATTCTCACACAGGTGCAGCATAATGGCTATGACAACTCTTATGGTATCCTGGAAAAAAAAGTCACCCAGGTAAGGTTGCGGTTGACATTTTTGCGCAAAAAAAACCTGATTTTTTGCATTTGCTTAAATACACGATTTCTTTTGCTTAATTAATTCTACCTAAATGTAGCTTTGATTGAATGTCTAGCTTAGCTTGCCCAGTGATCGTCTGTTATTGAAGCTACGCCTCAATCTTATTTAGAAATGAAATTTCACAGCTTACTATTTCTGACATATAACCCCAGCTTCTTTTTGTTACTTCGGTTATAAATCAATTTAATTCCAAATGTATGTCTAGCTATATAAGGCTTTATACACCATTTTTCTCAACTACATGACTCAATTAAGGAAAAATTGACCACTCAGATAATGATGCATATGCTTTTCTATTCAGTCTAGTACAATACATTTACTTGTTATAATCAATACGTTTGTGTTATTTGTCGAGAAACACTTTAAATTATCTGTATCTTTTAGTTGTACATAGTTTTTTCTTAAATTTTATTCAACCTGATGAATAACATTTTTCTATAAGAACGTGTGCACATGTTCTTTATTTTTACTTGTTTTCCTTTTACAGCTGCAAACTAAAGGAAGTTATGCAATAATTTTTGAAGAAATGGCAATAAATGCAAACAATTTATTTTTCATCATTTTACTCATTTTGAGGTGGTTTTGCTGAAAAAGATGTGATTTTGGAATTTTTTGTTGAGCCATTATCCACGGGTGACTACTATAATTGTTTCTGTAGGTAATAAGTAGAAGCAATTTCTGTAAGAACCCTCTTTTCTAATACTTATCTTATAATTAAGTTGTTCCGATTGGTTATATAAATCATCCGAATAATAATAGAAAAAATGTGAGGGCGTAACAGTAAATTTAATTTTTTCTTAGAATAAAAAAAGGTGACGATGTTTCTGAATAGAATGTTTCCCACTTTTGTGGTCCTATAAATATTGACTACTACTAGTGCAACAACACAACAATAACAAGCGTTTATCCTACTAATTGGGGTCGGATACATAAATCCTTTTTCTCCATTGCATCCTTTTGCGTGTCATATTTTTATTTAATTATAATTAATTAAGATCATTTTTTATACAATATGCCCAGCCTTTTTTAGGTCTACCTCTGCCTTAACATAAGTTGAATCTAAAACATGTACTTGTTGAATCTAAAACATGTACTTTTCTAACCGTATCATCTGATGGTCGACTTTTAATGTGACCAAATCAATCTAAAACATGTACTTTTCTAACCATATCATCTGATGGTCGACTTTTAATGTGACCAAATCATTTAAGACTATTCTCTATAATCTTGTCTGTCACTTGAGCTACACCAACCTTGTCACCGATATATTCATTTTGTTTTTTGTCTCTAAATGTCAAGCCACTCATCCACCTAAGCATTCTCATCTTAACAACACGTAACATTGTTTTATGCTTCTTTTTTAAAGGCCAACATTTTGTGTCATAGAGCATTACAGGTCTCACTATCATCTTATAAAATTTTCTTTTCAGTCAAAGCGGTACTTTTCTATCACACAATAGCCCCGATGCATTCCTCCAATTCAACCAACTTGCCTGAATACTACTAATAACATCCCTATCTATATCACCGTCACTTTGAACAGTAGACCTGATTTGATCACTCATAGATACAACTCTTCCACTAGAGCTACTAATACTAATATTACATCCCATGTATTCAGTTATAGATCTACTCAAAATAAGGATTTTAGACACTAATGTAGAGTTCCATTATTCGACTTTTTTCTGAACTCGATATTGACTCCTAGAAAATAAAAAAATAATGAAAATGATATTTATGCTATTTAGATGTGCCCATTTTGGTCCAAAAATTTTCTTGTTCACCTTTGTCCCTCACCTTATCAAATCATAATCTTTTTGTTCATTCCATTAACCTTTTATGTTTAGCTTTTCTTTTAAGAAAGTTTAATTGTGGTACTTGCATTGAAATGCTTCTTTGGCGATGAAGCGGTCATCATCTCTGTTACAAATGTTTTGGTGTCCAATTTTGCATTGAGCATTTTTCATATAGACTGAGTTATGAGAAAGCTTTGGCCTCATATAATAGAGAATGGAATTATTATAATTAGATTAATCAGTAGGTTTACTACAATATGGAGGAGGTTTTATTAGGGTTTATTATTTTTCTTATTTAGGTTCTTGAACTTATCCTGTTGCATTTTCTCAAGCTTAGTGTTTTGATTTTTTGTCGTTTTTCGCTATAGAAAAAAGCTTCAATTTGATTTTATGCTATGCTTGTATATCTTTAGCTGATATCCATTTGTATTTCTGTCCACTTGGTGAAGAAGTTTTAATTGAATTGCATTTCAACGAAGGCTTTTTCTTGTGAAACTTCAACTTATAAATACACACGCATGCTCGTGCACGCACACATACTTCATACATATAAATATTGGTTAATGAGCGTTGCTTGAAGTCAATCTCCTAAAACACAAGAAGAAAAGTATTTTGTTAAAACTCATGTTCTTTTTATATGCAACGTATTTTATAAAATATTGCTAATTTCTTCAACATTTACTTCCTGCATTAAGATTTTATTACAACCAAAACAATTAGAATTTAATAAGTTGATGGAACAAACTTTCGGCTAAGAAAAGTTGAGACCAAAATGTTCACACCTAAATTGTCTAGGGATTATTTTATCAATTTATTCAAAATAATAGGAGAATATAATGTTTTGTCATTAATCACATTTTCAATCCTCAAGTGATGAGAGAAAAAAATAACAAATTATAGGACACCCCTTACTTCAATACCAACAAAATACTAAAGTAGTCTGCATGTTCATGTATAATATCTCCACCTAATTTCTGTTTTGCACATGTTGGTCGGCTCATGGAGTTGCTGCAGGACCACCTGCACATTCCCTCTACGGTGCATATGATTACATATCCTCTAAAAGAATTTCCACTTATTATAAATTGAGGAGGTAACCAGTGTAATTCCTTTGATTCATAATCTGTAAGCGTCCATCCTTATCTTCTCTTCTTCTTCCTTCTCTGTTTAATCTACTGTTTTTATCTACCACTGTTCCCCTTCGAGACTCCTCCGACCGATGGCTGACTAAGTTATTCATTGCCAACATTACCATGGAAGCATCATAGACATCAGAGACTCAAGTTAACACCTCCACCATGCATTCCTTAGCCGAAATTATGTAGGCAGCCACCATTCCTCTAAGCCTTAAATTTATTGTGAGTAATATCAAGAATATTGCTCACACTTAACTCACCGCGGATAACTACCTATTGTGGAGAGCCCATGTACTCAAAATCGTTTCAGCAAACGGATTGCTGGGCTTACCTGGATGGCAACAGTAAATGCCCACCAAAATTCCTTTTTGCCGATAATGATTCCCCAGGACACTTGTGGATCAAAATCTGATGACGGCTCTATACTCAATCGTTTCCGTGGCTGTCCTACCTTATGTATTGCATCTACCCACAACAACGGAAGTGTGGAGTACAATCGCGAAGTACCTCCAGCCCACTGACCGGCTCGCTTAATTCAGCGCAAAATGAGCTACAAACTATCTCTATGAACAATTTATCCATGACACAATACCTTACCGAGATCAAGACAATCATCGACAATATATCGACAGTTGGAAGTCACTTGGACAATGAAGATGTCGTTCTTCACACCCTTAATGGGCTACCAACAACTTACCAAGCCTTCAAAATAACGATCCACACTCAATTAGAGCCAATGAACCTCGATAATTTCTACTCGTTGATATGCAGTGAAGAAAGTAATCAAGCAAATGCTCATCTCAAATCCGATAAAAATCCCAACCCTCTACTAGCCCTCACGTCAAATCATCAAGCTACTTGTGGTCGTGGAAGAACAGAAAACCATCCAAATCAGCGCACACGTGGTGGACATCCCCAATCCAATTCCTCCGTTACATTCCAAATCTGCCATAAAATTGATCACTCTGCCTCTTAACTGTTGGCACCGATAGAATCTCGATTAGAAACTGTCCAACCAAGCTCTTCATGCTTATTCATCCCCACGGGTCTTTGATTTTGGTGCTATTACTCACCTCGCGTCTGACTTCAATCATTTACAAATGGTTATCTTTGTCACTGGAGGTGGACAAGTACTCGTAGGCAACAATCAATCTGTTTCGATTCAACATTATGGCAGCGATATTCTACCAACACCGAAGCGTAAGCTTGTTCTGTTTGAAATTTGGCATTCCCTGTTTCTAACCCGTAATCTTCTATCAGTTCACAAATTAACCATCGATAAGAAACATTCTATTATCTTTAATTCGCCTGGTTTCCATATCATTGATCCATAGACAAATTGGGTGCTCCTTTGGGGAAACGGTTCAAGGGGACTATACCAAATTCCTACTTTAACTCCAACCTCTCTCTCAACAGAACACCCTACAACTCTCCTCATATCATCACCCACTTCCACTTTATGGCACAAGTGTCTTGATCATCCACATCCTGAAGTCATCTGTTGCATCTCCAAGGATACCCCTCACTTACAATCCCCAACATATCTTCGATGTGTGAGAGTTGTAATTGAAAGCCACAAATTTTCTTGCCCTTCAACTTCTTTGCATTTGTATTTACCTTTCCAACTTATACACTCAGATGTATGGGGTCCCTCTCCATATTTATCTAATCAAGCATATCGTTACTGTTTTGTGTTTATTGATGACTTCTCTAAATTTTTTTTGGCTATTTCCCATGCGAAACAAATCAGAAACACCTCAAAAATATATAACATTCATCAAAATGATTAAAACACAATTCCAAACACAAATTAGACTATTTCGCTCGGACGACGGCAATGAATACAGTAATTCTACTCTCCATTACTTTCTTTTTAATGAGAGTATCCTACACCAATTCTTATGTCCCTACACACCTGAACAAAACGGTGTTGTCGAGTACAAACATCACCACCTCCTCGAAACCACTCGCACTCTACTTAACGATGTTGATATTCCAGTCAATTTGTGGGTTGATGCTCTCCAAACAACCACCTAGTTAATCAATCGAATGCCGTACAATTCCAATCACCTCATCGCACCCTACGAGCATCTCTACCACAATCCATCGATCTTTTCCCACCTCAGACTTTGGGTGTTGATGTTTTTCATGGCGCAAACATACAACTTCCCATAAGCTAGCACCATGATTTATTCCATGCATTTTCCTTGGATACCCTCCGATGCATAAGGGGTATAGTTGCTATGACTCTCAAACAACTAAAGTCTTAATCTCCAGACACGTCATCTTCGATGAATCAGTTTTTCCATTCAAATCCACTTATTTAACCCCTCCCACAGCTTCGTTTACTCAGCCCAACCCTCTTTTGCTCGTTCCCCACTCTACTATCTCCCCTTGTGTCATCCGTTCACTCTCCAACTCCATGTCCCAATCTCCTAACTCACATCCTCGTAACCCCACCAACCCCAGACCGAACTACCCCTACAGCCCTCACAATCCAATTTCCCCATCTGTTCCCGAACCGAAGTATCAACTCAGCTCTTACAATCTCCCTCTCCTGGTAACCCGATCATACCATTATCTGCACCAAGCCCACCCACCCCATGCAAACCAGCGCCAAATCAGGCAAATTGAAACCCATTCAAAAATTAAACTTCAACATCAATGAGAACTTGATTATCATTTAATTATTTGTTTTTATTAAATGTGATCCTTTACTTGATTATCCCATACATTCTAAAAATGATTGTTGATTCTCCTAGGAAGGATGAATCTAGTCGTGCTTTGAGATTGACATGATAGATACTTTTCGGCTAACTCCAGTTTGTAATTATTAATATCCGATAGTTCCAATTATTTTGATGAAATTATTGTTTAATTTAATCTACAGGCAATGCTCGATTTGCAGAGCATGGAGGATAGTTCACTTTCTCTAGAAGAGAGAGAAAGAAACCATTTTGATCTGTATATGAAACACCTAGAATGCTGTCTACTTTGTCATCCAGGTTTATGGTATTCGTAAGAAAAATCAGGCTTCTGTCTCTTGAAGTATGTTTAAATTTCCTGACGGAGTTTTAGTTAGTTTGTCAAGCTTCTTCCCCCCTTACTGTTTCAGATTTCTCACTACATACAATTTGGAATATCCTGTAAAAAGAACCAGAGAGGTAATCAATCAGAATATTACAAGTACTACGAGTCCAGAGGATGTTCTAGACCTCGCTAAACGAGCCTTAATGGCTTGTCAAGATGCTGCATTATTAGCAGACAAATCTAATATCTTCTTACACGAGCTTGTAGACAAAACTTTGGTTCCAAGGTTTGCTTCCTAAACAATTTGGCATTAAACTGTAAATATGTTGTATTCCTAAAGTGTTTGTATCTCTTTTACTTATTTGGATCCTAGAGAATCTGTCGCTGAAAGTATGGTAGGGTTAAAGGAAGCAGTGAGATCAAAGAAGTTTTTGGAGAGGAAGTCTAAGAAAAGGAAAGAATTGAAAAAGTCAAACAGTAGTGCTATTGAGACTTCCGCAGCCATGGGAACTGATAAAGTCAAGAGGATAGAGAAAACATTTGACAATAAAGACCCTCTAAGATTGTTTTTGTGGGGTCCTGAGACAAAGAAGCTATTAACAATCGCAGAAGAGAAGGATTTAATTGCTCGGATACAGGCATATTTTAGAAAAATGAGTACAAAATTTTTTATTTTAATTTTTATGTTTTTTCTTTCTTTATCTCAATTTGTTCTAAATAGAAATTACATTGTCAGGATCTTATGGGAGTAGATGCAATTAAAAAAAAGCTTCACATGCAGTTTGGCCGTGAGCCAACACTGATGGAGTGGGCTGAATCTGTTGGAATGAGCTTCCATGATTTGCAGTCCTGTATTTCTTCAGGAATCAACAGTCGGAACAAAGTACTTTATGCTAATTTTCGCCTTGTTATCCATATTGCCAAGCAGTATGAAGGGAAGGGGCTTGACTTTCAGGATCTACTCCAGGTTATGTTGCTATGTCAATTTATACATTTTCGTATTTTGTATCAGTTGGTATACCAATTATTTTTATTTTTATTTTCTTCTATGAAAGGCTTAATTGTGTTGTTTTACTTCTATGAAAGCCTTACCTCACGTAGTGGGATTAAGGCTTTGTTGTTGTTGTTGTTGTTGTTGTTGTTGTTGAAAGGCTTAATTGTGCATGCTATTTTTTTATACAAAAATTTCTTTTCTCTTATTTTATTTGTATTGGTAGCTATTTTATGTATGTTATGCCTTTCGCTATATTATTCTTTACAAATAATGATATGAATTTTTCATTCATGCAAGGGTTCATTTGGTTAGTTGCAGAGAGAAACGTATTTTAAAAAATAATGACTTCGTTGTCTCTCATTTTAAACACCAAATTGAAATCATCTGAGAGGCTTTGAAGTTGTTCAGAGTTCAAAACTTAGAATCAATTTTTATTTTGAACCGCAACCAGCCAAACAATGTAATATGCTAAATTTATTATCTTTTTAAAACATGTTTTCTAACTTCTAACAACCATATGGTCTAATTCATCTTGAAGTTATTGTTACTGATTGCCAGTTTTTTTATGCTACTCGAAAGAATATTTTATTTTTGTTTTTAATGGGATGAGAGAAAATCATGTGTCAATCTAGGTAGGAAGTATGGGGTTGATGAAGAGCTTGGAGAAGTTCAAGCCCCAAATTGGTTGCAGATTCTCAACCTATGCTTATTGGTGGATACGCCAATCAATCAGGAAAGCCATTTTTCAGCATTCTCGAACAATCCGCTTGCCAGTATGTCTTTTATTTTCATGCCATACATTGTTTCTCCGTCTTTCTCTGGAAACAATAGTGCAGGATTTTGTAAAGCATTTTCTTTATTCTAATCAGCTCTATAACTGCTGTTTAATATTTTGAGTCTGAGTTCATGTTCTGTTATGATGGAGTTAAAATAAGTAAAGAAGTATCATGATTATTTGTGGGGAGTCATTTTTTCCCAAACGAGATAATAGGTCTAGTTTAATCCTTTGATGCTTAAATAGCACCCAAAATGGTCTTGGCATTAAATGCAACGGACATTGATGTTAAAGTTAATTGATAGTGTTAAAAATGAGCGTGTTTTATGAATTTATATATTGAAGGTGTTACAAAATTTAATAAATGAGTTTTCTTTATTATTTTGAAATATTTTGTAGGAAATTTATCAATAATAATTGCTAAATTTTATAAATCTAAGAGATGTATATATATATATATATCTTAAAAGATAGACGACAACATGTGCTTGTCCACCTCATATGTGCTAATTCGACCCAGATGGATTCGAACCCGGGACAGAGGGGACTTACGCCAAAGCTGCCAACCACTAATCCACCTGTTGTGCGCGCGCGCGCACACACACACACAAATATATATATATTATTATTCCTATCATAATTCAAATTTAGTTATATTCTTTGATAAAATAAAACAAGTGGAATTATTATTGATAGATTGTATCCCAAATAAGTAAGTAAAAAAATTAGATTTTATAAAAAATTCAAGATGTAAATTTATAAATGCCCTTATTGTTAACACCATCTATTGACTTTAGCTTGAAAATTGGTGGGTCCATTTTGATACTTTTCTCATATGATGGAAATTTTCTCTACTTAGTTTCCTTTTGCTGTTGAACACCAGATTTAATTAATATGAGAATCCTTCGTAAGAATCTCCAGAGTTGTTATCCTTATTAAAGAGAGAGAAAAATAGATGATTAGGGTTGGGCTTAAAAATCAAGAGTTCTTACTTTTCATTTGCTTACTTTTTCTTTGGAAGGCATGATACATTTAGAATTAACCATTTCCTTTTCTTACAGCAGCTCATTTGGATCAAGGTTCATTATAAAATTCCTGATCCACTCTTAAAATATAATGGCAGGAAAACGTGTTTGCAGAGCTGAAAAGAATTAAAGATGCGAAGAGAATTTTCTTACAGGAAGGCCAAACTCCTACAAGTGAAGAACTGGCTAAACGAGCTGGCATGCATGTCGGCAAATTAGAGAACTTGTTGAAGATGTCAAGAAATCCCATTTCAATCCAAGCTCATACTTGGACTGACCAGGAAATAACTTTACAGGTGTGCTTCTTGTTATTTGATATAGCACTTGAATATTATATTTACCTGATCCAACCTTGGAATTATTTGAAAGTAATGGTGCTAAATGACATTTTATATGGAAAAATGTGTTGGGGACAATTTTAGGGGAGGGTAGCTAAAGTGTGCAAATTTTATTCACAAGACCGTACAATTCAAATTAGATGGAGATGTTAGGCGGCCTAGTGGTCACCACATCTAATCTCGATCATTTGCTTTCCCTTTTTTATTTATTTATTTTTACTCTACAGTGCTACACAAACTTATAGAAGATTCTTATGTGTAAATGGACCAAATTTAATGATGAAGTAGTCCACTTCAGTATAGGGAACATATACTTATGGACTTACAAATCTTATGTAGCATCTAAAATAATCTTTCATGGTCTTCTAAATCATGACTTGCTGATAGAAGAATCAAATTTAATGATTGAGTAGGACAATTAAAGAACAAAGAACGATAATTGTAGTCATTCATATTAGTTATAAACTTTGAAATTCATGATGAAATTATAATTTCTATGCCAAAACATGCCTTGATGTTTAAACTTCACTGAATTGTAGGATTCTCGAAGAAATATTAAGGGGTTGTTTGGTTTGCTCAAAATGAAATGCAATGCAAAAGAGTTTCAGAGTACTCTGATTATATTGAATTTGAAATACTTTAGAGTTGTTTAGTTCACTGTAAAATAAATGTAGAACTTTATATATTTTTTATTTAGTTTTATGTAGATTGAAAATAATGTATTTAAATATATATATATATATATATTTCGGCTGTAGCAGTGGCGGCGGTTGCGTGGCAGCAGGCGATTGAGCAGGGGTGGGGTTTGGTAATGTACAAGGGTGGGGGCGAAGGGGGGCGGAGACGTTCGGGGGCGGGGGCTTGTTGATAATATTTTACAATGTAACTCAAATCCGTCTAAATCAATGAAATTCTAAATTCAACCAAAATGAACTGATAATGTGCGAACATCAAATTCATTCAAACTTTATATTATTTTTGTAAATCTTCATACCAAACAAACAATTTTCCAAAATCCCTATAAAAGAATTACAATACACTGTAAATTGTTACAACCAAACAACCCCTAAATAATCTCTATTATAGTCTTTTATGATATTAAAATTCATTTTTTATTTGATCCTGCAATTACGATGATATTTGACTTAAAACAACAACTTAAAATTTGGCCTAAAATTCAGATTTTTAAACTTCGCATCGTATTTTGTTTTTGGACTTCACTTGACTCCCTTTGATTTGTTCATGGTCCCAATGCTTTCTCATTGTTAGGGAAACATTTTTGGCACTTGTTATATATTATTGCGTGTAAAAACTCGCGTTAATACATGAAATGTGATCTAGCTAATTGGCGATCAAGTCATTCAATGGAGTGAACATTTTAGATATATGAGTTCTATTGGTGTGGATGCTATTAGTAGAATTCAAGTTGGATAGTTGAAGTGGAGGAAGGCATCAAGCCTATTGTGTGATTAAATAGTACCAATTAGACTTAAAAAGGGAACTTTATCGGATGGTGGTGAGACTTGCAATGCTTTATGGTTCAGAATGTTGGCTTGTAAATGGGAAGCATAAAGTTAAGTGTTGTTCAGAGGAGAATGCTCAGGCGGATGAGTGGCTGTTGACCTCAATTTTGAGGCCTGTCTTTGCCTCTTTTTAGAGCCTAGGATCTAGCCTTAGGATTTTCCTATTTTGACACTCTTAGAGGACTAGACTGAGACCAATAATATTTAAAAATTCAAGTTTTTTTCTTTGATTCTTAAAGTTTCATATGGACGGTTCTAAATCCTCAGCATCCAGTTCAGGTGATTAAAAACTGACATTTTGAAGCTCATGTTGAGTTCCCATAGGGTTTGAAAGACATAGGTGGACCCCACGACATACGGTGTTTGACTTGTCATCGTGAGTGGTCTGCTTGACCGTGATTGTCTCTTATGCGAGAATCGGTCAACGATATACTCGTTAAACGACTTCGGTCGAACCAAAATAATTTCATTTGCTATGTGGCACAAATCGGATTTAAATTGGTGCGATCGTCGACGAATTTGTCCGGGTGATCTTGGATGACGAAATAGACCCCGTCGGTGGGTCCGAGACGCCGATTTTAGCCGGAAAGGACATATATTTTGATAGAATTTCAAATTGGATTGAATTGTGCGTAAACTGACGAATTTAAATAAAACAATAAAATTAAAATAAAAAAAAATTCTTAATAAAATAAAATAAAATGCACGCTGCCCCCTTTTCTTTAAAACCCTTGCACGCTTCTTCTCTGCCGAGCCCTAACCGACCCCTTGGTGGCATAAAAAATCCTTCTTCGCGAAGTTTCCTTCCAAATTTTGCCGTTTACCCTCTTTCTCGATAGCGCTAACTGACTCTCGTCGTTGAGGATTGTTGTCGGCCACTTCCCCATAACTGATTCTCCCGCTCAAACGAGTCCGATAACCTTCTTTCTTGGTAGCCCCGGTATTTTCTTTCCCCTACGGTGTTTCTTTTCACCGCCGGTCGACCAATTGGTAAGATACCCTTCCCGTCTCGTTCGGCTATAAATACCCCCTTGGTTCGTCTATGTGAAGTTAATTCATTCATATTTGGTTTGGTGAGATCAGTCTTTATATAGCTCGTCTATGTGATGGTTAATTTTTGAATGGGCGTGCAAATTTTAATTTAAATTTTTATGAAAATTAGAAATTCATACATTTATCTTGAGGTAACTTATGTTGATGTTTTGAAGTGTTCAGGCTCCTGTTATGGAGCTTGTTCTATTTTCAGTTTGGGCATCTAATTTGGAGTTATTATCTTGATTATCTCGAAAAAAAAAAAAACAACACTGAAGCTATCCTTAACTAGTTTTTGCTATTGATTTAATTACTTGTTTCAATTTTGAGATGGTTTGCAAGTACTTGAAACGGTTTGTTATTCACTTATCTCCATTGTTTATTCTTTCTCTATTAAAGAACTTGGTAAGGTTCAAATACTTGACTCAATGGCTAGAACAGTCTCTTTGGTATTCTTAACATTTATATGCTAGTTTTAAACGCTTCATCGCACATCATATAATCTTTATGTATATTACATCTCTAGTCCACTCAAATACCTGTTCTTGAATTATTTTTGATGTAACCCGTGCACCTGTTTTGAGCTGGATACTTGGGAGGAGTCTTCTGTGTCATTCGAGCACTTATTCTTGAATTAATTCTGTTTTGGCCTGTACATCTATTTTGAATTGGATAGTTGGGAAGATTGTCCTGTATAAAAAATGATTGAACCTAGGTTTTTGAGTCGAATTATGTTTGAGTTGATTTTAATTTATTGTATAAAAAATGAAAATATGACACTAGAAAGTGTGTGTTGAGTCCCACCAGTCTAAGGAGGGCTCATGAGTGTGCATTGAGTCGAACGTGAGTTGGTTGACCGAAAATGAGGTCAACAATAGACCTAAAAAGTCTTGGGCATATTGTATAAAAAATGATATTAATTTATTAGAATTAAATGAAAATATGACACATTAAGAGGCAATGGAGAAAAAAGAATGTGGGCGACCCCTACTTAGTGGGATAAAGGCTTGTTGTTGTAATTCAATTAGCATAATCCCATATTAATTCATTAAATGCAAATATATTTAATACATAAAAATTTTTAAAAAATTAAGCCCTAACCCTTTCCTACTCGGTTCCGTTCTTCCCCATATTACACAGCCACGACCCACCCTTATCTTTCTGCTCAAAGCCAGACACAAACTCTCTGATTCAAATCATAATATTATTAATAGTCCTTTTAATTTAAATGGATAAAATTTCCTTAACTTTAATTCAAAATAAAATCCTAACCTTAAGTTTCAGTTCGGTTTCAACAACTCCAGCCCGCAAGTACAAACGGTGCCCTTCTCCTTTGATTCAGCTTCACAGATATGCGTAGAAGACACTCTCCCTTTGGCTTCACTCGACTCAACTCCGCCTGACACTTGGTGAACCCGCACAAAACTAGTGCAAGGTCGGTCGTCCCTTCTCTACACATCAGCCCCTTGCCTCCTTTTCCTTCTCTCCCGCGCTGCACGCACGTGAAGTGGCTTGCCATAGACTCGGGTGAGTCTTCGTTCTCTCGCATGGCATGGCTTGGACAATGCTGACTCCACTTCCTTCCCAAGCACGAGCACTGACCTACTTATCTTTTTCTCCTCCCTTGCCTTGATTCCATTTACAGCAGCACCCACACGACTGATTCCAGCCCAACCAGTTGTACCACGAACTGGTTTCCATGCCATCAGTGGTCTGTACAGTTTTAAAAGAATATTTCTTCTTCCATCTTCACTTGTGACTCCAATGGGATGATGTTGGAACCGATGCAAAGAACATTATCTTTTTTCGCCCCTTTCTAAACCTTTGATTTCATCAGCAATCATAATGTGGTTTTTTACTCCTGCAGAAATCCAAACTGTGATTTACTTTTCTACCTGCCAGCATTGCTCTAATTCTATCCATTAAAATTATGGGAAATTTATATATCTCACACCTCAATTTAGCTTTAAATCTATGCATTAAAAGTGAAATACACCTCTTCATGCATAGTTTTGATGCACCGAATTGATGTGTGTAAATATGAAATTTTAGGTGTGAGATATGTAAATACATAAGAACTGTGCTATGTATGTAAATGCCCATAAAGTTATTTTCTAAAACATCCAACTATTCTGATTTGATTGATGTTATCAGGAGATCACCGCAGACCCTGAGATCGAAACGCCGAAGATCATCGTTGAGAAGCAAATGATGAGACAGCATGTACAGAGCCTTCTTGGAGTTCTGAGTCCCAGGGAGAGGAAATTAATAAGGCTCAGATTTGGGATCCAGTACAGTGAACCAAAATCTCTTCAACAAATAGGTGACATGTTTGGGATATCTAAAGAAAGAGTCAGGCAATTGGAATGCCAGGCTCTGAACAAGATGAGAGCATGTTGCACAAGCTTGGGGTTTAGGGCATATGCAGAATTGTTAATGTGAGTGATTCTGGAATTCTATTTTTACTTCATAATCTTCATTTTGTTTTACTTGTTTACTTAAGATGTACTATTTCTAATTGAGTGTATATACATTTTTTAGTTGTATCTAAATTTGGGGGTCTACTAATTTTATCTTAGGTTGTGAGTTGAGTTGTCTTGAACTTAACTCACTAACAATGTTGAGTGCTGCTGGTCTCATTGATCATTCTCAAATGAGCTGCCGCCATACTCTCTCTTCTCCCTTCACTGGTCTCGTCAATTCCTTGTTGAGCTCCGCCACGATTTTCTTTTGAGTCAAGATCGAGTTCATTTTGATTCAGGCTCGACCTGGCTTGTGTACTTTTTTCTTGTTTGGTAGATCTATGAAGCTTGGGCTCTTAAAACATTAGCAATTTGGATGGTTGCTGGTGAGATGAGCTATGATTTCTTTTGTTTTCTTGAGGGATGTTTGATTACAACATATATTAGCAGAAAAAATACGAAGAGGAAAAGAGAGTCTAAATGGTGTAAAATTTGACTGTTCAGTCTTTTCGCTATTATCTTTAAAAAGTAAAGATCTCGTAGTATCTGGCAAGCTAGCAACATTTTCTATCAACATTGAAAAGGTCTTGATCAAGAATATTTTCAACAAGACCGATATTGAGACCTTTTATCTTGCTCATGAGAAAAGCAACAACATGTTGCTCATGAAATTGGGACTCACATTTCATACTTAAGTTCCTCCAACGAAGTACAAAAGCTAGCAAGGTTTCGTTGGGATTTTGTTATGCCAACATCAAATTACTCATAGAGATCCAATGATGTTCCCTAACAAATCACTTCACAAATGAATCATTCATTTTGAAGAACATTCTGATGTTGTCGTTTGGTAAGTAGACATATCATTCAAAAGTAACATTCTGATGATGTCGTTTGGTAAGTAGACATATCATTCAAAAGTAAATCCTGCCAAACTGGCGACGAATAAGTGGAGCAAAGCATCATTATTACCTATGTTGAAACACGTTGCTCTAAACTAAGCGATATGTTGTCTAGGTTTTCCAACCACATCAAACTGTTTGAATCATGGAGGAATAAATCGTTCATGATAAGAAGTATATTCATATATTCGGATAGGGCCTACCTTTTCTCATGATAATCTCACCCTATTGAGCTGCCAATGCAACCTTAACTTCAACATCCACTAGCTAGGGATTGCAAATACAGGCCAAAAGAAGAATATTCGGGTGGAGCAGCATCAAATGGAGAAATATGCATTGATACAAGTATGACAGGCATGGGAGATACGACGGGCAAAGTCGGATGTGTCTTAACCTGTGTAGGAGTAGGAGTACATCTGCCCCTGCCCTATTGAGTTGTAATGCCACCACCTGAGCAGCTAAAATAGTGTCTGCTCTAGAAATAAGAGATGTATTCATCAATGCTTCTATCATCTATGATTAATCGTGGTGACATCTTGATGTTCTGCCTCCAATTTAGGCGCAGGATGTTCAGCAGTAGACCACTCTGCCCTAGTTGTTACTGTCATGAAATGATGAGTAGCCATTTCATCATCATGGAGTTCCTCGCCAAGGAGGTCATCACCATCAAGAAAATATTTTGACAAATCAGAGAATTCACTAGATAAGTCATTCTCGGGTCTATCTTAGGCTCTACCTCAGGGTTCGCTTGAGGCGTATTTAATATAGGATCAATTGGACGCATGACTCCTTCCATAATTGTCTCTACAGCCTCCTTACCTAGAGCATAGGCATTAGGTGTGGTAGTAGGAATCTTCCTTACCCGCTGTCTCTTGGCCAAGATAGAATGAAATTTATTTTTTATGCACATATTTATTTTTAAAAGGATGAGGTGAGTACCATGGGGTTATTCTCTGAGTTTCCCTCTATCAGAATATGATATCCATTTCATTCTTGCTAAAAGATGATGGAATATTTTTCTTTTTATTCTTGAAAGATGAAGGTACATGAGAAGCGAATGTAGCCACTACACTAGTATCTGGTATAACCATCATGTACAATAACTTCAAATACAACAAAGAGTGTCCTATATGAATTTCTCCTTAGTGATAGGACCCTTTCCCCTCAAAGAAGAGAATGTTCCTACGATATTTTTAGTCAGAAAATTAGTAGTGGTGCGATTAATACAAACCACAAGCTTAGAATACCCTGCATCTTGGGGAGGAGATCTCTCAGTAAACCTGATTAGAAAATGGTCTATAAAGTCAAAAAGTACAGAAAAATGATTCTAAGCCAAAAGGAATTGAGTGTCCTCCCGGGCTGAGACAAGTGAAGGGACCTGCTGTTGGTCTTGCCACTGAGCCAGTAATAACCTATTTTTGGTCCTCTGGGCCCTATTGCTTAATCCAGGGGTAGGATAAGCCTAAAAAATATCAGTAATAAAGGAAATTGGGACAACAGTTGAACCAACTGAATTTTTGGTCCTCAGGGCCGTATGAGTAACTATGGTCCCCTAAGAGCTGTCAGGTTGTACACCAATAATGGAGGTAGATAACCTAGAGAACATACAAGGGCCACCAGATAGTGTTGTGAAAACAAAAGGATGCTGCAGTGCGTAACCATCTGGTGCTGACCTCTTCTTTGAAGAAGGGGTAGTATATATACAAGCAACCATGTACAATGGGAGAAGATACATATGCACGACTCCCCTTCTTTAGAGGAAGGCATATGGCAGTTGCCTCAACGAGTGTAAGATTATTGAGGGTAATCTTAAAAGGATGCTTAAAGAAACCAAAGGTGATGGTCCCTTCTTTTGCATGAAAAACATTTGGGAAATATGAAACCATATTTCTCTGAGAAGATTCGATCGTAATCATTCTCTTATCATCCATATTCTATTATTACAAAAAAGAATACAATCAAATTCAAGAACAAGGTTCAAGGTCAATCAAAATATACAACAATACCAATTACATAAAAAAAAGATGTAAATAAAATACTGAGTTTGTGAAAGGGTTGGAATGCCAAGCTGCTAACCATAACAACTTACACATGTATTGAATTCCAAGGATAAGTGGTAACAAAAGTGACAAAGATGAATACTATGTCACAATATTTAAGCAAGGCTTCTAACCTATAGAGAGTGTCTCTTCCCTAGCCTAGTTGTCGGATTTATTTTGGTTCTTTTAAACTTGGAGTCGTTAGCTTGTCTAATTTTCATTTTAATTTTGACTTTCCCAGATAAACTTCTTTCTTAGACCATCGAGATAATTTGAAGAAGAGGAGAAATTGAAAAGGGAGAAGATATAGCAAAAACTACAAAAAAAAAAAAAAAAAAAAAAAGAAAAGAATGTGAAGGATTTCTATAACATAGCCTTCATGTGATAGATCAACAGTGTATGCCAAAATGAAATTGGGTCAAAATACTTTGAAAGCATATCCACGAAGAAAACCTTATATAAATTAACAACGTATATGATCAGAGAATCAAAAGTTATATTTTTTATTTTGGTGTCAAGAACAACTTCTAATGGAATGTGTCTCTTTGGTTAATTACATTTTTGGGGATACCCTAGAACAATCTCGATTAAAGGAATCTTGCTTACATTTTGATATCTAATTGCTGAGAATATGAAGGATTAATATGGTCATCTCAAATAGGATTGTCATAGTGCTTGAAAGCCATACCAGGACATAGGGTGGAGGGTGAATCACCACATCCCCAATCGGTGTTAGCCTATCAACAAATGAGGCCTATGAAATGACCTCAACAATTTGTCAATGGAGTAGGAGAAGCCCAAAAGGGGTATACCAATAAATAGGTAATGAATTTCTAAGGAAGTAGAAATAGTCAGGTCAGGATTCTATGAATCAGTCATCTCGAACTATTAAGATTCTAAGTCTACTTGGGTGTGGAGGTAGTCGACTCAACTCGACCAAAAATTCATTATCAACAACCCATGTGTTTCACCATCCAAGGAATCTCAGCAGCCCTAAAGTTGAGAGAAAGAAACATCTAATTCCTTATGATTCTATTTGGATGAAATTAATAAAAATGATAATTACATTTGCCAAGAAAATGACAAGGCCTCTAAAATTAAAGAGAAAATAATGGCCTAGCTATAAAGTCGAACCATACTATTAAGGATTTACACCCCGCATGGGTCTGGGAGTCTCTTAACACTGTAATTTTTCTTCGAACCATACTATTAAGGATTTACACCCCGTATGGGTCTGGGAGTCTCTTAACACTGTAATTTTTCTAGATTAACCTCCTAAGCATGTAAACATATGCTTGACCAGTCAGTTTGGAAGAGCAATGATACTCTTCGGGACATGAAAATAGGATGCAATAATCTAAAAAAATCCTTAGCGTAGAGACCCTATTATCATTACTTGGGATAAGCTTATGCATGTGTAGCCATTTTAAATCTGAATAGAAGGTTATGCAAGGAAATTGAAGCATGAAATAAAGTCTTCATTTTAAAGTGATTCAACTTAAATTTTAAATTTTGATTAAGAAAAATCTTTTAATTTTAGGATTTTAGAAGAAAGATTTTTTCATAAAGAGCCTAAGTATAAATGCAAAGAGTCCAGATAATGCACAATCAAAAGAAAGAGAAACTTCAACACTCTACATAAAAAAAAAAGAACGTGTCATATGATCAAATAAATAAAAGAGGTCGAGGTCATTCGGTCTGCCATATATCTCAAAAAAATAAAAGGATCGTGGTCAAGATCTACATTTGCATACCTCTTCCTAATTTCTATATGATAATATCAACTCAAAACTATGGTACGAATCAAGGGCATGCTCCTCCTGTCCTCACCTTATGGTTCTACACAGTGCCATGGGAATCCATACTCATATCTTACTTTTGATATGGACTCTAGTTTTTGGATTCTAGATAGATGTACAAATAAAAATTTTAAAAAAGGCTCGACCTGCAATAAAAAATTAGCACAAGTTATATCATGTAACGCATAATAAATCATGTCTGGTGGGAGGAGAGCTAAGCAATACTTGCAGGAAAAAACATCTGCTTAAATACTGTTAGTCCTCCCCATTGGGCATGGATCATTGCAAGAAGAACGCCCTTAATTTGCTACTACATGGATCTCACACCCAACAAACATGAAAAATGCAACACATAAAATGCATGGTTAGGCGCAAACCATAGAA